GCCGGGCCCCTCATGGGGCTCGGCAGTGGAGCTGCAAGGTCGGCGGCGGCGGCCGCGACCGTTGGGGGCGGGGTGTGTGGCCTTATGACACACTTCCGGTGATGTCAGGGGGTGTGGCATATGCTAATGAGTTATGCTAATGAGTTCCCCTAGCTCTTTTTCTACGAAACGACCCCTGGCTAGATCTATGAGCATTTCTAAAAGTGCAGCTTAAGTGAGGCTGGAAAGCAGTTGAATTGACTTCTCCCCTCCTACCTGTTCTCTGTACAGAGAGAAAAACTTTTTAAAAACTCATGGTGAAGGTTTCGTTTAGTTCTAACCTCTATAGAAAAAAATGCAGTACCTCACAGTTGCCTATGGTGTCTGGAGGGGTAGAGTCCGGCTAGCTTGGAATTGCTGAATGGATGTACACGGAGAATTATAATCATGTCTTTTTTTTTTTCCTGATAAAAGGAGCTGTGACTGCCAAACCTGACCTCATATCATGGCTGGAAGGAGAAGGCGAAATCTATGGTGAGAAGTGATTTTTAACTACCCATACATTGATTAGGTCAATAGGTGTTCAATTCGGCAGAAAGAGATTGGGTTTGTAGATACTTTCAGTGACTGTGCCATGGAGCAGATGGTCACAAAACCTACCGGGGGGGAGACGATCCTTGACTTGGTCCTAAGTACTGCTAAAGACTTTGTGAGATATTTATTTATTTGTTAAATTCGGTTTCTAGACCACCCTCCCCTATGAAACAGGGCTCGGGGTGGTATACAACAATAAAACAGGTTTCACACATAATTGCAGTGTTAAAAACAATAAATACATTAGTTAAAAGCAGTGAAGACATTAGTTAAACGAATTAAAGGTAAAGGTTCCCTTGCTCGAAAGCCAGTCGAGTCCGACTCTAGGGTTGCGGTGCTCATCTCCGTTTCAAAGCCGAAGAGCCAGCGCTGTCCGAAGACATTCCGTGGTCATGTGGCCGGCATGACTAAACACCAAGGCGCACGGAACGCTGTTACCTAAGTGGTATCTATTTATCTACTTGCAATATCTTGCTTTCGAATGGCTAGGTTGGCAGGAGCTGGAACTAGAGACGGGAGCTCACTCCGTCCTGCGGCACCCGGGTCTCGAACTGCTGAACTACCGACTTTCCACAGCCTGCAGTTTAGCGTCTTAACCACTTGAGCCACCGCAGCTCCTGTTAAATGAATTAGACGGCGCTAAACTTCAGTTCTGCCACTGCCTCATGGGGGGAGACAGAAGATACGAGTACCAGCCAGGAAAGGACAGGCAAAAGAGAGGAGTGCCAGCCAGATGGAAACTGTCACCGTCCTTAGCCAAACACCTGGCAGAACATCTGTGCTTTACAGGCCCTGCAGAACTGCATTAAGACCCACAGAGCACAGATATTATTCAGCAGCAAGTCCCACCAGGTTGGAGCCAGTGCACCTTAGACCAGTGGAAGGTAGTCTGAGTGAGGTAAATAAAAGGGAGCACAGGCTTTGGCAAATAAAGCCCTGGCTCTGGTCGAGGACAGCCAGACATTCCTCAGGCCAGGGACCCACCAGTAAGTCCTTATCTGCTGAGCGCAGGGCTCTTTAGGAGGTATACCAGGAGAGGCAGTCCCGAAGACATGTTGTTTTCAGACTATTTAGGACATTAAAGGTTAACACCAGAAACTTGAACCTGATCCGGTACTCCACCGGGAGCCAATGCAGTTCTCACAGCACAGGTTGAATGTGTGCTGTTCGCGGGGTCCCTTTAAGGACCCGCACCACCACATTCTGGACCAGTTGGAGTTTCTAGGTCAGCCTCAGGGGAAGTGTTGCATGGATTACTGTGACTAGGTCAGGATGGGACAGGTAGGGAGCCAGTTGCCTGACCTGGCGCAGCTGGAAAAATGTCAGTCTGGCAACATTTGTGATCTGGGCCTCCACTGATAAGGAGTTGCGGTGGCTCAAGTGGTTAAGACGCTGAACTGCAGGCTGTGGAAGGTCGGTAGTTCAGCAGTTCGAGACCCGGGTGCCGCATGACGGAGTGAGCTCCTGTCTCTGTTCCAGCTCCTGCCAACCTAGCAGTTCGAAAGCAAGAAATTGCAAGTAGATAAATAGGTGCCACTTTGGTGGGAAGGTCACAGCGTTCCGTGCGCCTCGGTGTTTAGTTACGCCGGCCACATGACCACAGAAACTTCTTCGGACAGCGCTGGCTCTTCGGCTTTGAAACGGAGATGAGCACCGCAACCCTAGAGTCGGACTTGACTGGCTTTCGAGCAAGGGAACCTTTTACCTCCACTGATAAGGAGGCATCCAAGATCACACCCAGATCTAAATGTGATAGCGTGGGTTGGGAACAGTGACCGTAATACTATTAACTTTAGCATTTATGTAAATAGGGAGCTGCCCAAAAAGACCCAACATGACCCCATTTAACTTTAAAAGGGGTAAGTTCTCTCAAATGAGGGGGCTTGTGAAGAAGGAAGTGAAAGGAAAGGTAAGGAGGGTCAAATCCCTTTGGGAAGCTTGGAGACTGTTTAAAATACAGTCCTGGAAGCTCCAATAAAATGTATACCACAGATTAGGAAAGGTAGGTATTAAAAAAGGCCTGCATGGTTAACAAACAAAGTAACAGATGTAATAAAAGGTAAGAAGGGTTCCTTAAATTGGTGGAAGGCTAGTCCGAGTGAGGTAAATAAAAGGGAGCACAGGCAGTGGCAAATAAGATACAAAATCTGTGGTGCAGCCTCATTTGTAATATTGTATACAGTTCTGGGCACCGCACCTCAAAAAATATATTATTATCTCTTCCTTCCCTATGAAGAAAGGTTAAAGAAATTAGGTCTCTTTAGCCTGGAGACATGACATTTGAGGGGCGACATGATAGGGCAGAGGTGTCGAACTCATTTATTAACAATGGCTGGATCTGACATAGATGTCAGTTTGTTCGGCTGGGCCATGTGCGCCATAAAGCGCAACACCAGGTAGTGGAGATGTAAACTTTATAAGGGACAGTGGCTGGTAAGCTCCAAGTCTGTGTGTCCTCACTGCAAAGCCCCATGGGCAGGAGGACAGCCCCATGGCCTGGTGCAGCAGGAAAACCACATGGGCGGACTGGAGAGCCAGCAATGCCGTGCAAGGGAGATGCTCCCTCGCCGCTTGACTGCCGCATACAAGGTTGTTCCCCTGTGCTGGAGCCACAATCGAGGTGGATCCGCCCACTCACCCCTGAACATTCTTGTTTCCCTCTCTTCCACCAGTTCCCTGCAGGTCACAAGAGCCTCAGGCCTTACGTTTGACACCCCGGTTGTACAGGTTTACAAAATTATGCATGACATAGAGAGAGAAGTACTTTCCTCCCTTTCTTACAATACAAGAACTCATGGGCACTCAATGAAATGAATGAGCTGTAGGTTTAGAACAGATGAAAGGAAGTACTTCTTCACCCAAAGAGTGATTAACCCATAGAATTTACTGCCGCAGGGAGTGATGGTGGCTACAAGCATAGACAGCTTCAAGAGGGGATTGGGTAAACATGGAGCCAGAGATCCAAGAGTGGCTATTAGCCACAAGGTATAGAGGGAACACTCTGTCTGGGCAGTGATGCTCTGTATTCTTGGTGCTTTGAGGGCAACAGTGGGTGGCCGCTGGTGGACCTCTTGATGGCATTTAGGTTTTGGCCACTGTGTGACACAGAGTGTTGGACTAGATGGGCCATTAGCCTGATCCAACATGGCTGTCTAATGTTCTTATGATGAGCTGTTTACCCAGTTCTCCAAGGAAGAGGAGTGATTGCCAGGTTTGTGGTTTGACTGTGTCTTACTTGTGCTTCCTCCATGGGCTGGTGGATTTCTACAGCCTTGAACATATGAAAATGGGCAACTTCCTTCTTCCAAGTCCAATCGTGTTTTCCAGCTCAAGCAGAGTATTACCTCTTGGAGTGTCAGGGGTCTCTGGAAAGGATGTTTCCCACCCCTGTACTCTCTGTGATTTGTTGAACCGGAGCTGCCAGCACTGAGTGTGGGACCTAGTCCATGCAAAGAATGGGGGGGGTCAAACATGTCAGGCCAAAACCCACCTCAGTTCTGAGTCTCTGACATTCCTCTGACATAGAGAGAAGGAAATAAGTATCTGTGACCTACATCACTCAACTCACTGGCTTGTTGCTTCCTTTTCATTTGCAGTTTGTGTCAGGGAAGGAGTAACTTTCCTAGGGAAATGTTACTTCTCTTTTTCTGCCACAAGCGGCTGATCTGTAAGTACACTGTAGGATGTCACAAGACCACATTCCCTAGGAAGAATTGAAAGTGTGTCTTGTTGACAAACCTTTAAACTCATGTACTCCCTACAAGTGTCAGCGTATTTCAATTCCCTAATGTTTGTGCTCCATTTTTTCACAATGTTCATGCTAGGTTTCTCTTTCTTTCAGCAGGTGGTGTGCAAAGAATGCAAACAGGGAAGAAAAAATATAAATGCCTGGAGTGCGGGAAAAGCTTCAGTCAAAGTTCAAGCCTTGCTTACCACCAAAGAATACACACAAGGGAGAAACCATATCAATGCCTGGAGTGCGGGAAAAGCTTCAAAAGTGGTCCAAGTCTTACTACTCATCAAAGAATTCACAGAGAGGAGAAACCATATAAATGCCTAGAGTGTGGAAAAAGCTTTAGGAGAAGTCCAACTCTTCTTTCTCATCAAAGAATTCACACGGGGGAGAAACCATATACATGCCTGGAGTGTGGGAAAAGCTTCAAAAGTAGTCCAAATCTTACTGCTCATCAAAAAATTCACACAGGGGAGAAACCTTATAAATGTCTGGAGTGTGGAAAAACCTTCAGTCGAAGTCACCACCTGACTTCCCATCAAGGAATTCACACAGGCGAGAAACCACATATGTGCCCGGAGTGTGGAAAAAGCTTCAATAGTAGTCCAACCCTTACTATCCATCAAAGAATTCACAGAGGGGAGAGACCATATAAATGCCTGGAGTGTGGGAAAAGCTTCAGTCAGAGTTACAGCCTTACTTCCCATCAAAGAATTCACACAGGGGAGAAACCATATAAATGCCTGGAGTGTGAGAAAAGCTTCAGTCGGAGTGACCACCTTATTTCCCATCAAAGAATTCACACATGCGAGAAACCGTATAAATGCCTGGAATGTGGGAAAAGCTTCAAGAGTAGAACAAGTCTTACTACCCATCAAAGAATTCACACAGGGGAGAAACCATACAAATGCCTGGAGTGTGGAAAAAGCTTCAGTCAGAGTTATAACCTTACTTCCCATCAAAGAATTCACACAGGGGAGAGACCTTATAAATGCTTAGAGTGTGGGCTAAGCTTCAGTCGGAGTGATAATCTTACTTCTCATCAAAGGATTCACACAGGGAAGAAACCGTATAAATCCCTGGAGTGTGGAAAAATCTTGTGTTACAATTTAAACCTTGCTCACCATCAAAGTATTCATACAGGGGAGAAACCATATAAATGCCTGGAGTGTGGGAAAAGCTTCAGTCGAAGTGATAACCTTATTTCCCATCAAAGTATTCACACAGGGGAGAAACCATATAAATGCCTGAAGTGTGGGAAAAGCTTCTGCTACAATTTAACCCTTGCTCGCCATCAAAGTATTCATACAGGGGAGAAACCCTATAAATGCCTAGATTGTGGGAAAAACTTCAGGAGTAGTCAAAATCTTACTTCTCATCAAAGAATTCACACAGGGGAGAAACCGTATACGTGCCCGGAGTGTGGGAAAAGCTTCAGTCGGAGGGACAAGCTTACTTCTCATCAGAGTATTCACACAGGGGAGAAACCATATAAATGCCTGGAGTGTGGAAAAAGCTTCTGTCGGAGAGACAGCCTTAAATCCCATCTAAGAATTCATACAGGGGAGAAACCATACAAATGCCTGGGGTGTGGGAAAAGCTTTAGATGTAGTACAAATCTTACTTCCCATCAAAGAATTCACACAGGGGAGAAACCATATAAATGCCTGGAGTGTGGAAAAAGCTTCCGTCAGAATACACACCTTATGTCCCATCAAAAACTTCATACAGGGGAGAAATCATAGAAATGCCTAGAATGTGGGGAAAGCTTTTGTCATAGTACAGACCTTACGTCTCATCAAAAACTTTATTACGGGGAGGGGAGACATAGAAATGCCTGGAATGTGGGGAGAACTTTGGACAAAAAAGTCAACTGTCTTCCCATGAAAGATTCCATGCAGAGAAGAAATCAAATAAATGTCTGGAGTGTTGAACAAACCTCAGTAAGAGTGGAAACCTTACTCCCTATTGAAAAATTCATAAAGAGAGGAAATGAAATGATATAAATACCTGGAGTGTAGAAAGGCATTATATCAAGATAAATTCGATTAGAAAATCAGAAAGCAGTGCAATAGAACCATATTATACATACAGTACATAATTATACATACATATGTACATATGTACAGTACATATTATACATACAGTACATAAAGTGTTTAAAAATTTTCAATGCTTCAATCCATAATCTTAATCCCGTCCTGAAAATCCCCTCATAAACTTTGGTTTCATGCTTTCTGTGGAATGCTAAAATTGTGGGAGCCTTCCTGACTTCATCAAACAGGCCCCTCCAAGCGGCAGCTACATGAAAGAACCCTTTTCTATGTGTCATGTCAGTCTCACCATTATCTTTGCTAAAATGAGCAAAGTGATTGTGGCAGATCAAAGTGAGAGCTGTGGTCCCATAGATCTGTAAGACATAGGTCCTGAAAGACTTTGTAGGTAACAGCAAGGGTTTTGGAATGAACTGATAATCTGAAGAATCTCCCAAGGAACAACTCAGTTATAGATCAGATGTCTTCTGTGCCTGACCCTGAATAGTAACTGAGTTGCAGCATTCTGTCCCGGCTGGGAATTCTGACTTGAAGGAAAGACCCATTTAGAATGCATTGTAGTAATCTGCCTGGTTACTGTGGCTTTGATTTTCTATCCATGTATTGAATTTTATCTTGAGTATTTATGGTACTCTGATATTCACTTTATTCTAAGGAGAACTGACTACTGTGCTTCAGTTAGATTACTGAATCTGACTGAGTTCCTTACTGGTTCAGCATGGCCCCCTGGGGCAAAAACAAACCCAGTGTTTTAACCTGGATTGTCTCCTCCCCCCAGTATTCAGTACAGAGAATTATGAAGATTCAAGAATGAAAGTTTCTTTAGTTCAAAGCCTCAGTACAAAACATTAAGTCCAGGGCAAAAGATTAAGTCCGCCTCTTTCAGAGACCCAGAGCAAACAAAGAAGTTATAAAATCCTGAGTCGGCTCATGTAAGGAAGATGACGACGGATTGGTTTTTATACCCCGCCCTTCACTACCCAAAGCTGTCTCAGAGCGGCTTACAAACTCCTTTTCCCTTCCCCTCCCCACAACAGACACCCTGTGAGGTAGGTGGTGCTGAGAGAGCTCTGACAGAAACCGATCTTTTTCAAGAAAAGCTCTTATCAGAACTATGGCTTGCCCAAGGTCATCCAACCAGGTGCAAGTGGAGGCGTGGGGAATCAAACCCGGCTCTCCCAGATTAGAGTCCGCACACTTAACCACTACACCAACAGTGGCACTCAGCATCAGTGTTGGAAGTCACCAAAAAAAATCAGTCTGGGTCTCTTGCAGCATGACATCTGAGAGCACCAATCTGAAAATAATTATGATGGGGTGTGGGGACAAATCCAGCTACAGGAAAATGAAGATAGACATGCATGCAGGGGCTTTAAGGGATTATTTTAGAAAACAAGTTATTCCCCGGGGCCTTAGAAACAACCTGGTATGTGTCCCTATGTTGATACTTTTAAAGAGAGGTGCTTTGCTATTTTGAACAACTGTTCTTTGGATCTGATGGCCCTGCTGATAGAATCAGCAGTGGCGGAGAGCTCTAAACTTGAGCAAGAAAATGCAACAACTCAAGGATAAGATCCAGGGAACTGTGGGTGAGACTAGGTTCATGGGAAAATTCACCTTGTTGGATAAGGAAATAGAAAACCAATGCTTACAGTTGAAGGAACAAGACTTTTAAAAGTTTCAAAGAGACATTAAGGATTATGAAGAAAATAATGGCTATGGTCGGTCCTCACATAAACACAGTATTTCTGGTACATATAACAGTAGAAAAACCACAACAGTGGGAAGAACTTTGGATGATTCATCTTCATCCACTGGCTCTAGACATTTTTCTTATGGGAGGACTACTAGTAGTTTTTAGGGAAACCAGACAAGAGACAGAGATTAGGGGAAACCAGAATGGTCCACAAACCGCAGGATTTAAGAAACCACAATTAGTCTTTCAAATAGTAGTTTGTCTGAAACAGAACTATCAGTTTTGAGGAAAGGCTTTTCTTTTGTCCCACACTCTGTCATGATCCTTTCAGACTGATGTCTGAAATACAGCATATGTTTAGAAAGATCAGACTTTGGTTGTTTTTCAAGGACAGAAATTCAGTAGATGATGCCTCACTTAAAAATACATTTAGACCCAAATCTGTGTTTGTCTCTACAAAAAATCCTAGCGTACTGGTCTTTTGGAGCTGCGGTGGCTCAAGTGGTTAAGACGCTGAACTGCAGGCTGTGGAAGGTCGGTAGTTCAGCAGTTCGAGACCTGAGTGTGCCGCATGGCGGAGTGAGCTCCCATCTCTAGTTCCAGCTCCTGCCAACCTAGCAGTTCGGAAGCAAGAAATTGCAAGTAGATAAATAGGGACCACTTCAGTGGGAAGGTCACAGCGTTCCATGCGCCTTGGTGTTTAGTCACGCCGGCCACATGACCACGGAAACATCTTCAGACAGCGCTGGCTCTTCGGCTTTGAAACGGAGATGAGCACCGCAACCCTAGAGTCGGATTCGACTGGCTTTTGAGCAAGGGAAACCTTTACCTTTACTGGTCTTTCAGGAGAATGTAGAGGAAGAAATGTAAAAACCTGAACATTCATGGTTGCTCTTTTGGCATAATTCAAACAGACTGGAACAGAGCATGTTAAAAAGTGAAGTTATTTTTAAAACCGGCAGATAAGGGTGCCGTAGCAATAGGGGCCAGAAATGATTATATTTGGGAGGCATTTAGACAGCTGAATAACCCCAATCACTATGAAAGGATCACAGAGAACCATTCTTCTATGATCGGGGAAACATTGTGAGTATCTTAGAGAAAGCACTACTGAAGCGCTATATTTATAAGTCCACATATGACTTCTTATTGGATACTGCAGGTAGAGTGCCACCCTTCTGCCTCTTGCCTAAAATCCATAAAGGTACCTCCCCAACTCCCGGTAGACCTATTGTCTCAGGCTATGGCTCGATTTTGGAACCTCTGGCAACGTATCTGGATTCCTTCTTAAAACCTGCACTGCATCTTGTTTGTGAGACGCAATGGATTTTTAAAACCATAATAACAACAGCAGCAGTCAGGAGGTATTGCAGGAGGCTATTTTTGTTACTATGGATGTCGTTTCTTCATACACAAACGTTCCACCAGATGAGTCTCTGGACTTCTTGTAGAATGTTTTGGATAAGAGGGAATGCTATACCAGGCGCCCCCCTCCCCTCCCGCCCCTGCATCTTTTTTATGCCGCTTGGCTGGGTTATGTTTGATGAATTTTTTTCCAGTTTCAAGGACAATGCTTTTTAATCATAACACTTCGCATTTATGTGAAAATCTGTGCAGAAGGTCTTTAAAATTTGCATTCCAGCAGAGACATGGCAGATCTGAGGCACAGCCATGGGGTGTAATTTTTTAAAAAATATATTTGATTTGATTTTTTTTTACCCCGCCCCCCCTGCTGAGGCAGGGTCAGGTCAGCTTACATAAGAAAGCAATAGATAAAACAACAGTATAGATATCAGTATAAAATACACAACATAGTTATTAAAACCAATTAACATAGTGATGGTAATCAAGCTGTGATAAAGTGCATATGAAAACATAAGTTCAGCGGTGGGATCCACTATCGGCGGGCCCAGGCTAGAAATGGTGTTGGCACAGGGCATAGACGATGAAACGCAGCTCCTTACCTAAATGCCTGGCGGAAGAGCTCCCATTTTTGCGGCCCTGCCCCAGAATTAGCAGATTTGTTCATGGACAGATTAGGAAACACCTTCATCCTCCAGAGAGATAATATATCTATAGGGGAGAAGAGGAGGAGGAGATTGGATTTATACCCTGCCATTCACTTAGAGTCTCAGAGCAGCTTAAAATCTCCTTCCCTACCTCTCCCCACAACAGACACCCTGTGAGGTGGGTGGGGCTGAGAGAGCCCTGAGAGAACTTTGACTGCCCCAAGGTCCCCCAACAGCTGCATGTGGAGGAGTGGGGAATCACACCTGGTTCTCCAGACTGGAGACCACTACTCTTAACAACTACACGAAACTGGCTCAGCATGATCCTATATAAAAGGTACTTGGATGATGTAGTGGTTTGGTGTAATGGTTAAGTGCACAAACTCTAAACTGGGAGAACCGGGCTTGATTCCCCACTCCTCCAGATGCAGCTGCTGGTGTGACCTTGGGTCAGTCACAGTTCTCCAAGAGCAGTTCTCAGAGCGCTCTCAGCCCTACCTACCTCACAGGGTGTTTGTTGTGAGGAGGGGAAGGGAAGGAGTTTGTAAGCTGCTCTGAGACCCCAAGTGAAGGGCAGGGTATAAATCCAATCTCTTCTTCTCCATCATCATCATGTGGAAAGGTTCAGAGGAGTTCCTTAACCAGTTTGGGCAGTGTAGTAACACTATGCATCACAGTATTAAATTTTAAATGATGGTGTCAAGCATTAATCAATACAATCACAAAATCCCTAAACTTTTCCAAAAAAAAATTCATACAAAGATTTTGAAACTTTCAACCTTCCAAATATATATATTCATCATACAAATAAATACATCATATCAATACATAGGAGCTGCGGTGGCTCAAGTGGTTAAGACGCTGAACTGCAGGCTGTGGAAGGTCGGTAGTTCAGCAGTTCGAGACCCGGGTGCCGCATGACGGAGTGAGCTCCCGTCTCTAGTTCCAGCTCCTGCCAACCTAGCAGTTCGAAAGCAAGAAATTGCAAGTAGATAAATAGGAACCACTTTAGTGGGAAGGTAACAGCGTTCCGTGCACCTTGGTGTCTAGACATGCCGGCCACATGACCACGGAAATGTCTTCGGACAGCG